TTTCAGTCCTGGAGTTTGCAGAAACATCATTGGAAAAGGGTAAGCTGCAATTTTTAAATGACCTGATGCTATGTGCATGGGAACATGTAACAAATGTAAAGAAAGTGCTATCCCAATTTGGCTGCAAAAGTGGAAATACGCTTTAAATCTGATATCCAGGCATGAAAATCTTCCCTATATTCCTGAATAGCCACAAAGAATATAAATCCACATTATACTATGTGAATGAGAACATGTGACAAATGCAAAGTAAGTGTTATCCTAATTTGGCTGCAAAAGTGGAAATACACTTTAAGACAGAGAAGATATTGCTGTGTGTTATCTGAGCTGCAGAGAATCTTGACTCCTCCCAGCAGCTTCTCCACCTCCTTCAGATCTGCTGACACGTGTCCAGACACAACACAGATCCGCAGACATGTATATAAAATATTGTGTTTTAGTGGTGCACCCTCTTCCGCGGCTAATGTAGGCACTCTCCTTGAATGCGCATAGTCTGGCTATTATATATTACAGCGGGGGGGGGGGGACTTGTAATTTTCTTGGTGATAATTCCCTTTTTCCATCGCTACCTACTTTTTGTGTTGCGTTATACATGATACCTCAGCTGCAATTTTAGCATAATGACCCTCATCTTGTTTAACAGATAAAATATCTCCAGGCATTTTCCCGGCTCATCATGCAAATGATAAAATCTGTCTAATGCTCTTTGCCTCCTTGTGCCACTCGGTAACTAAATTGCTGATGTGTGTGGTTAGTGTAGGAAAAATATGAAATTCATAGTACGGCAAGCTTCAGTGAGTCCCGCAATTTGTCTTTGCAAGCTGTCAGGCCGCTCAGAAAATGTACACTGATGTTTACTAATCCCTGGTCTGCTTTTTTATTAAAGGGACATTCAGTTAATTTTTTTTTTAAAGGGCATGTTTAGCATTGTTGTATACATATTCTTTATTGTGTACACAAAGTTGAACGCTTTTATCTGCATTTCTTTTTGGTCAGGTATACAGTGATACCTCGGTTCACGAACTTAATTGGTTCCACGGTTCTGGTCGCGAACCGAATCACATTTTCCCATAGGGTTCAATGTCAATCAGGTTAATCCCTTCTGACTCCTACGAACGTGGTCGCAAACCGATTTTTGGTCGCGAACAGAATAACATTTTCCCATAAGGTACAATTTAAATGAGGTTAATCCGTTCTGAACCATATGAAAAAAATGTTTTTACCACAAGTTTCATTTTTAGCACCATTCTTGCTCTGCACATTATTGTGACCTTCATTAACGCTCCGCACATTCTTGTCACCTTCATTAACACTCTGCACGTTCTTGTCACCTCTCTGCACTTTCTTTTTCCCACCATGCTTGCTCTGCACTTTCTTGGGAGCCATGCTGAATTGAGTACAGTAATGTACAGTACTGTGCTACAAAGCACACAAAAAGCTTCACAGTAAGTGTCCACGGACCTGTCTGCGACCGCAATCTCGACTGCACAAAGCCACTACCATGTGTCAGAGCAGGGAAGATGGCCACGGTCGTGTTCGTCACACGAGGCAGAGTTCGCGAACAGAGGCAAAATTTTGACGAACTTCCTGGTCGCGAACCGAATTGTTCGTGCACAGAGGGGTTCCACTGTATATAAAATACTGTATATGGATATATCTCATTTAACTTTTACAAGCTAATAGGCAGTGCACTTGTGTCTGCCACTGCCTTTGCTGAGTCATTTTAATACTATGCTGTGAATAGGCAGTAATATGAGCTACTATACACAACACAACATATAGCTGAAGAAGGGGGGACACCCTGCTTCCTCTCCAGATCACCAAGATACACCCTTATGATGGTTTAACCTGAACAGCCTTTCTTATTAGAAAGCAGACATTATATTATGAAAGCTCGTTATGTAAAGGGTTAATTTGTAAAATGATGATTGTATATAAGGATGCACCAATTCCGGTTTTTCGGTATCGAGTACGAGCACCGATATTTTTTTTCCGGTACTCGCTGATACCGATGCCGGAAGTCCCATTAAGGAAGCCAGGAGGCGTGTTAAGACTCGCCACCCGGCTTCCCAATTAGGATCAGGTGACGAGGAAGCATGGAGCCTTGTAATGACTCGTTGCCAGGCTTCCTGATTGGCCGTGAAGCTGGCCAATTTGACAACTGAGCATGAAGCCCAATCAGGAAGCTAGGCGGTGAGTCATTACATGCTGCCCGGCTTCCTGATTGGCCACTAAGTGACGAGGCAGCATGGAGCCGGCTTCCTGATTAATCGGTGCATCCCTAATTGTATACAAGTGATTGGAAAGTAATATAAAGCATTAACTTAAACGTGTAAGCATTCCAAGAACCTAGTTCAGATAAAGCTTGGTAGCAAGTCCCATAGCGAGAGGCTCCAACAGGAGCTAATCTTTGACGCATTTGTGTGAACAAAACCAAGAACTGCACAGGCACCAGGATTTACATGCTTGTGTCATCTCTGATCCAGAATCTGAGTCTAGAAAGAAGATGCTGACCTGGATGATGCCTGAGCTAATATGGTGCTAGCCAAGGCTGTAACTACAGATCATGGGGCCCCATAGTAAAAATGTGGGGGGCCTGGGCGACCTCTCACTAAACTGTGAGTAATGATGCCAAGATACCAAAGGACCTCCTCTTGTGCATCTGAATTAATCTCTACACTGTAGACTTTACAGTGGATTAGAGTTGATTTCATCAACTACAACCAGAGCAGGTGACGCCAGATTGACAGTCATTTTGGTGTCGGGCACTCGGTCATGGACGAGTGCCCGACAGTTGCATGAGAGGAGTATACCCAGCGGTATACCTTATCCCCCAGATGAACATCCCCTCCTCTCTTTTCCAGCATCCAACACCAAAATGGCCACTGGCAGGTAAGCACGTGTCATGTCATTGCGCAAGTGCACAACAATGTCACCCGCATGCGTGATGACGTCCCAGCGGTGTGTAACCTGGCGGCTGCTCCGGGTGACACCATGCCTGGGGACGCCCCTGACTACAACCACTCCAACCCTAAATGATACAGTACTGTGTTATCTTCACATGTTCTATGTTTAATTTGCCTCAACAACTTAATGGGGCCCCTTCCACCCCTAGGCCCCATAGCAGCCGCATGGGCTGCTATGGCTATAGTTATATCACTGGTGCTAGCATTCTGAAAAGATGTGCAAATGATGGTATTATCATGGGGGAATACAGTGATTATAGTCAGAGGTAATAAATACCAGGAAGTGTTACACTTACAAATACTTTCATGGCAGGTCCACTATAAGCTCTTAACTTTTTCTTGGAGAACTTCTTTAAAATCCTGGCTAGTGCATAAAATTGCTCTTTGAACAGTGTGTATACAGCAAGTATAATTTAATTACAAGGTAAGGTATAAAGGCGATGTAAAAGACGTAAATTCAGTAAACGATCTTCCTAATTAAAGTTAGTTTGCAACTAGTGGTATACCTTGATTAAATTTGGAGGTCCATTAAAATGGCTGCTTAGACCAGCATTCTATCACTTGTGGGTTTAAAGAGATAGTTAGGGACTGAAAATTTATTTCAAGGCAATTTAACATGAATTATTTGAGAAGTTTAAAGGCTTCTAAGCCAGTTAAGCCTCCAGTGCATTACATTAAAAAAGTTATTTGACTAGATGATCTCATTGTGCCTTATGAATAATATTTAGATGTTTGTTTTCATATAAAAATATATATTAATATGCTTTTATTTAGTAATGACCTCCAGTTGCTTACTTGATGGCAGATGTAGAGAGCCCACATACCTCATACAGTGCTCCAGAAGCCCAAAACTTGTGGTGCTTATGTTATGCAAATCTTGACTACCTTCTGTCATTGAGACATAGGCCCCGCCCCTCACACCATTCATGGTTGCCGCCAACTGACCAGTAGGAAGTCATTTGTGGCTTTATGAAGGGGTGGGATGCAAAGCAAGATTGCCCTAGGTTTCCAAGCCCATAATTAAGGTATTTGAGAACGCATTTTCATCATCGTTGCCCATTTAGCACTTTTAAAGTGACCACAAGTCCTGTATGAAAAAGTTGCTTGCACGTCACAATATACAACAACTGTATTTTGTCTTTTTTTTTTAAAGCTGTAGCTTTTATCATTTAAAAGCAGCCATTGAGCTTTAGCCAACTGACTTTACCTAGGCTTAGATTATGTCATCAGTGTGCTGCATGCAGGTGGAACGTTTCCCCAGTCTACTCTCCCCCAGTGATCAGATTGTAATCTTGTAGCAAGTCACAAGGGTCTGATCTGTGCCCTCTTTTGTGACACGCACAGCCAAAAAATGTACAGGCTTCAGAATTAAATTACTGTGCCATATCTAAGCAAGCATGTCAGTTCAGGGACTAGTGGCTAAAACTGGATGATGCCTGAACAAAGATGGATTTGCCTTCTTCTGCTTCTCTCTCCAAAAGGACAATGTACTGTATTCTCTGTTAAATTAGTATTATATATGCAGCGCTAAGAACCCCTAATTCCTCAGATAATTAAGTTAAATTATCAATAAAAATCAATAACGTGATAAATTCATTAATAAAAATTGTGCAAATAAAGTGTAAATAGTGCAACATAGTGCATCACATTAATGTAGATGAATGTATTAGCGCTGCGTATATAATACTAATTTAAAATTCTGGACCTAGCTGTCTGGTGTGTTGCAGCTTTGTTACCTGTGTGAGGGTTTATTTATCCAGAAGCGCAGATTCGAATTTAGATTATACCGTATTCTCTGTGATGGGTAATAAACAGAGGTGTGACACTTTCACATTACTTACCCTCCATGCAATTAACCTAAAAATATATCTAATGCTAGGTCCACTTTAACATTGAACTTACTTTAAACATGTTTACTACGTTTTCTTCTGCAGAATCTTCAATCAGCCTTACGCTAAATTAACCACATCACCATTATTGTAATATGTGCAGAATACTTGTCATATGTTGACCTTGATCATTTTATTTCTATAGAAACTTCCAATGCTTCATTACTAACCAATGCTGAGAAGATTGCCACGATTACGACCACGCATACGCCTCAGACAATATCCCAGGAAACAAAGTAAGATTCTTCATTAAATAGGTTTTAAATAAAGGAAAGTCTAGAATTGATCGTTGTTTGTATTTCTGCATCTTATGATTTAAGCTTCTTCATGGGTCTCTCTACATTTTTAATTCCAGGAACAATTCAAAACCAAAGCAAGAGCCCCAGTTTGAGTTCAAAAATCCACCAGCCACTCAGGTAAGGGAGATTGTAAACGTTTGGTTTATTGTCAGTGAAAGAATATTCTTGCTGGATAAGAAAAGCTATCATAAGGTGGTTAATTTGAAAACTGGTAGAGCATCAAGCTTGCGGGAACATTGTATATTTTCATGGACCTGTTAGCATTAGAAACATCTCGGGGTGATAATGCCCCCTGTTTGGAATGTTAAAGATACGCTTTGTTTACTTTGGAGAGATACGGTGAGATTTATAGGATGAATCTACATTGATAAAGCACATTTATATGGAATGTGCTGAAGCCGATCAGCTGTGAAAGCAGTAACTGGTCTTCTATCTTCACATGAGCATTTCACGCACTTCAAGCTTGGTGGAGGTTCTGAAAAAAAATTAGATGTTTGCTATAGTGTGGCAGCCCCAACTGGTTCCTTGGGACATCGGCAGTTTTATGTTTGGGCTTGGCAAAGGTTAAAGTTCTGAGAAAATCAAATGATTGCTATATTGTGTCATTTCCAAAGGTTTTTTGGGTCAAGAGCAATTTTAGGTTTGGGTTTGGCAAGGGTTAGAGTCATGATAAGGAATGGAATAATTTGGGTGGTGGAGTACTGGATTGGTGGAGGTTCTCAAAGGATGAAACGGTTGCTATAGTGTGTCAGCCCCAACCCCCAGGGTCTTTAGGATATCAGCATTTTTATGTCTGTGGGCTTGGCAATGGTTAGAGTCATTGTTAGGAATGGAAGAATTTGGGTGGTGGAGTACTGGACTTCAAGCTTTGTGGAGGTTCTCAAAGGATCACATGGTTGCTATAGTGTGGCAGCCCCAACCAAGGTCCTTGGAATAGCAGCAGTTTTATCCCTGTGGGATTGGCAATGGTTAGAGTCATTGTTAGGAATGGAAGAATTTGGGTAGTGGAGCACTTGAGGTTCTAAAACAAAATAAATTAAATGATTGCTATAGTGTGGCAGCCTCAACCGGGATCCATGGGACATCAGCAATTTCATGTCTGTGGGCTTGACAAAGGTTAGAGTCGTGATTAGGATTGGAAGAATTTGGGTGGTGAAGCACTAGAATTCATGCTTGGTGGAGTGATTGCTATGGTGTGACAGCCCTATACAAGTATGGAATAATCAAACAAGAGCAACTAACTGTAGGTATCAGTCCAGTTTGTCATTAGAAGGTCTATCAAAAGCTGACTTTCAATGCGTTTCAGGAGTTATGAATAAATCCCCCTTCATCAGAACTAGAGTAGAAAAGTATAAAGTTTTATATAACAGTTATTAGAGTTACACAAATGTATTAGTTTATGCATTCTATAAAAATTATTAAAATACATTTAGAACAAGGACTTGATTTTAGTTGGCTCAGTTCATGAAAGCACATCATCAAGTATAAGTTCATTATGAAGACTGTATTAAATAATTACACATTCTGTACCGTGGGCCCAGGCAGTTTTTAATTCATGGACCACACCAGTTTAATGGGATCATGCATAAGGGTAGGTGCACATAGACATTTGTAGTTTCTGACATAGGTTTGAGAAACATTTCTGCAAGGTTTAGACCACCGTGTTTTAATTTTAAATTGAACATTATGCAGTGTCATACCGGCAGATGATATTGAAATGATGCATCCAGGTACAATAACGGTACATGTGTATTATGTATGATCATTTGATAATCGTAAGGGAACCTTAATGAAGGGTAATACACAGCCATTGCTAATCACCTCCTGAAAGAAAGAGCTGAAACTGACTCACAATGCAGAACACCTAACTGAAGAACTTTTTCTTAGCTCCCCATGGGCCCCCTTAAGTCTGGGGCCCCAGGCAGCCGTCCATTCTGCCCTTATTATATAATGTGCCACTGCTTACGGCTGTTTTAGGGGGATAATGATTCTTGGAAATCATGTCTACAAACGGATTGCTCTTGTTGTCATGGCTGCAAAGCTGAAACATTTGATTTTTGCTGACAATTTTAGAAAATAATGGTCTCGGGTTGAACCAGAGAGGAAGACTTTTTAACTTTTGAAATTACACAATATCTTGCTTGGCAGTTATGTTTTGTATCCTTATTTAATGAAACTGGAATTCTCCTTAGAAAAGAAGTGATTGTTAAATTTATGGCTGAGATGATAAGAAAGGCGCAAAATTTATGGCTGAGATGATGAGAAAGGCGCAGGGATATAGAAACAAACAAGCAGAATTGTCATAGCCGTTTACAGGTGATCTACGTTCCTCCAGTTTGTAATGCGTGTTACTCTATTCCGATAAGCCTTCCCCTTCAGCAACAAAGAAAAGCACTGAAAATATATTTCAGGCGTCTTACCGCACATCGGCCGTAGCGGATATTTACCCTAAAAAACTGCTTGCTTATGGAATTTTTCATAGCACATTTATCAGGTCAGGAGACAGATATTGTGCTGATGAGCCGTTCGCCTAATCCATGGTGCGTTTCAAGCGAGGAGATAAAAGGCCGTAACTCAGTTAAATGAGCATCAAACAAAACGGGATGTGGCAGATATTATACTTATTGCAATAAGGAACAATAACCTCTCCGTTGTTTTAGAAAACTGTCAAATGTAACAAGTACCTGTTTCTTTTACACTTTGCATTTGTTGAAGCTGAACTCCAGTGAAACCAATAAATACACAGATCAGATAGATGTAAGCGAGTGGTTTTGTCTGCCAAAGGATTTGTACATGTGTGTATCCAGCCCTGAGATTTACACAGCTCTACCACCAAGCACAGCCCTGATGAGCTCGTCTGTCTGTCACTCTGCTTTCTCCTCCGATCAACAGACTGCTTAGAACACATGAGCTCTGCAGCACAGCTTACTTGCTTCTTTTGCTTCTGCTCCCTCCGATAGTCTTAGCTCTGCTGTGGACTGTAAGAGGTTAATACCAAGTCAAATTATGCTTGCATTAAAAAAAAAACATTTAATTTTGTATTAATGAATACAGAGCTCCATTCATTTGTGTCTTTTATATGTGCCTGGACTTCAGCTTTTAATCTCTAGCTGTACAGTATCTGGTTATCATCCAAAATATAAATCGTGTTTCAAGATACACAGACATGAATTGTTACCAAAGAGAAGCCGAATTCCACATTCATTTTTCAAATCAATTGCCCATTATGGTAAAAAACAAAAAAGAAATAAAATGTATGCTGCAGTACTCTCCTTCCCACATCTGCTGCCACCCCACATACATACTCATCGCTTTGCAATCCAGTGCTGGTCCTCTTCGGTGCTGAATGACGCACAGGTTAAGTGTCTACATACTCGCAAAGGATCTGTGCGCATCTCTCGAGTTCCTCCACATCAAACTCATCATCATGTCTTTATGGAGGTGGCTTTGTGCACAGGGGAACAGTCCTGCTGGAACTGAAAAAACGTCCCCCAATCTGTTGCAACAGGAGAACTATGAGATGAGTGATTTCCACTCACCTCATAGTTCTAGCCCACCTGTGACAATGAGACTGTTTTGCTCACCTTCCGATCCTGTCACGGCTCTCTGCCGTGACAGGGGGAGGGGCTGGATTCCCCTCTCCCCGCTCCGATCTGCCAGCGCTGACTGGCGGAACAGACGGGGGAGCAGGCGGGTACAGCTGGCTCTGCCTTTAGATAGGCAGAGCCAGCTGTCACTCATGCAGCTGGGCGGATCCCGTCATCTACATCGGGATCCGATCCGGCTGCGGCGTCTCAGTATACCGCGAGCTGTAGCTCGCGGTATACTGAGCTTAGGGTAATGGGAGGACGCTAGTTTGTGTCCTCCCGTTACCCTAAGGAGAACTATGGGGAAAAACACTGACCCCATAGTTCTTTAAATGTCTTCACATGCTGGAGCATTACAAGGCTGGAAACCCCTGAACTCAGTCATTTGGAGGGTGATAGACATATGTGTGGCCATAAACATAGGTGTGATGGTCAAGTGTCCATAAGCTTCTGGCCATTTAGTGTGAACTGATGGCAGGGATTTCTAGATGTCCTTTACAGTCATAATAATGCACATTCAGCAGATCTTGTGTTCTTAAGAGCTTTCAGAAGTCAGTGCATACCTGCATGTCCTATGGCCATCTGATGTGTGTGGGCAGCTTATCTCTCCGTTATCTCCCTATGAGACAAAAGCTGTGCTAAATCACTGATAGGTGATTAGAAGTGCCCCATTGGACCTAATACGGTAATATAAATAAGTGTACGTATTTTCAGAAATGAGTTTGGATCAACTGATGTTTCCTACGCTGGAGGCTTCGACTAAAGACAAATGTAAAATACCAATAAAAATGTATAAAAGGGAGGCAGGGCAACAGGAACACAAATAATGTTAGAACTGCAGCGAAGGGTTTAACTGGCAACCAATGTATTTATTATTTGTTTTCCTTTAGCAACAGGAGCCAGAATTTTATACAGCAGAGCTTGATAAGGGAACGAAAGGTTTCGGGTTCAGCCTGCGAGGAGGACGGGAGTATAACATGGACCTTTACGTTCTACGTCTAGCAGAAGACGGTCCTGCGGAGAGGTGTGGGAAGATAAGGGTATGTATGAAGACTTTACTTTTCTCTATAATCAATACACTTTTATTTTTGCATAATTGCTGGCATATTAAAACCTCCTGGATTTTTATATTGTCTGGGACTCCAGGGAGGAGGTATATGCACCATTTTTTTGGGCTTCTGGCAATGGCCATCTGATGTAGCATATCTTAGAATGAACCAATAATTGGGGGCTGTAGTTCTGAGATAGTGACACTTTTTTAACCTAACCTTGTGTGAGGAGCCAGAGATTCAAACTACTATTGGAGAAGCTCCATTTGTAATCTCCAAGAGATAGAGTAAGCCAATGGATGATGCAGCCCACTGGTGCCCAGCCACCCATAGTACTAAAGTATCTTTGTGGCACATTTGTGCAATATGAAGAGGAGCCGGCCAGGACCACATTGGAGGAAAGACCACTGGGTCAGAGAGGAAGGTAAGTATTATCCCAGGTGGGCTGAACTTGGGGTGTGGTGGGTTTAATAAAGGACATCTTCGCTGAGGGTAAAGTTGCCCTTTCATTTATTTTAGTAAATGCTGGAACGTGGCATTACCTGTTCTTAATGCCTCTCACTATGGCGGGGTTTCACACCAGCTGCAGGGTTTTTAATATTAGTTGATCATTTTTAAGAATTCAGCACAAAGAGGAGGGAGACCCAAGTTGTAGCAGGAGGAGAAATTCCCAGAAGATGTAAGAAGCCATTGGATGACTTAGAACAACCGGCTCCACATACAGCTAAATATCTCTTTCAGCCGCGACGGCAAAAATCTAAAGGAATTACCACATTATGTGGTTTGATAATTATTACAATGATAATAATTGCCAATTTATGTTCAGGTTTTATAGCACATTCTAGATGAAATTAAGCAGTTTTTTTCCCCAAACCTACTTTATAACACTCTTCATGATTCTGTTCGAGACAAATGTGACTGCTAAAAGCAACACTTCAATTTACTGCACTCCATCTATTAGACAAAAGGATCAAAACTGAGATCTTTCCTCCACTGGAGCTGTTGTATTTATTAGATGTTTTTCGTATGTGTGTGTGTGTGTGTGTGTACATACAAAGAAAACCATTGCTTTTGTTTTTAGTGTTTCGAATGGTGGTTAGGTTGCTGTTTTTAGAGGTGTGTATATGCATACTGCTTCACATTAATGTATGAGGCTCTTAAAATGAGCCTGCAGCCATATTCTTATGTTTTTAACAAACTGTAAATGAGCTTTAAAACAAGTCCACAGCAGAAGCACTGAAGTCCTTTAACGTGTGAGATTACAACACCACAAGCACATATAAATAAAGGAAAGGTTCATTGTTTGATACATTTGCATTACGTTTTGTCAAAAATCAGCTTTTAGTACCTTTTTATAAGATTTTATTTGTTGGTCACATGGCTGTACAGCCTTCCTTCACACCCGTTTTACTTATAGCAGGGGGGTGTTTCATATTTTTACATGGGTGGGCACTTTAGGTGACATTTCAAGAAGGAACAATGTTCAATTACCACCAGAGAATACATTAGGGCTGCTCCTGATATTGTTATCAGCCGGTTGAGAGGAGGGACAGGGCTGGTATGTCACCATACAGTAGATGTGACCCTCCACCTCCATCGCCCAGAGTAAGCTGAAGGACTGTAGGGAAAGCTGAGCTGCTGAGAGAACAACTTTAATGGCTTCAGTGCTACTGTGAGCTTTAGAGATGAATTGCTTCGCAATGCTTCCAGCTACATAGGTCACTGAGATCTTGTTTTAAAGCTTTTGTGCTGCTTGGTAAGAATATGTAAATGCTTAAATTATACAATGGGAATTATTTGCATAATAGAATCATGTGTATTCATTATAATAGGAATGTTTGGCAGGCACTAGCAGCAGGCGTTGGAACGGCCCAGTATTCGAACATAACAATGGTGCTTGTAGGCTGCTGCTTTGTATACCTGACAGCAGTTATTTGTTTGTGACAAATTTGCTTAAATCTATTCTGTCTCTAGTACCCTTATAATATTGCAAAAAATAAAAAGGTAAGGCATACTATCTAAGCCACTTTAAAAAAAAAAAATCAAGAACAGGCGATGGAACATTTGCTTCACATGCATCAGTCTGAGGTCTATTATTGTGCATTGGCAAAGAGAAAAGTGACAGGAATCTATAAAGGCCAAGGTTATTTTTGACGCAGTTTTGCTTTTATACTTGACGCGATGGCAATTTCAGTGTTATTACAGTGGTAAAGAGACTGTGACCAAACACTTTCTTTTTTTTCTTTCGTTTTTTTCTTTTGGTAACAAATGAAATAATAGGTTGTGAATTGCTTCTTGCAGGTTGGCGATGAGATACTAGAAATCAACGGAGAGTCCACAAAAAACATGAAGCACACTCGGGCAATTGAACTGATTAAAAATGGCGGACGGCGAGTGCGTCTAAGTCTGAAACGTGGTGATGGTTCTGTGCCGGAATATGGTGGGTCAAACACTGAAAACCTTCCTTTGCTCCCTACCATCACTCCATGAATGATCTCTTTCTGTCAAGAATCTGGAGCAGGAAATACTTTTTTCTCCTTTATATTTTTTTTCTTTAAATCACCAGTGTCTTACCAACTCTTGTGAAATCTGATTAATTGCTTCGCTTGTACTGAATTTCCGCTCTCCTCAACCTCTGCTTGCTTCTGTGGACTTTTGGGGCTCAGTATGAGGATTTAAAAAAAAAAAAAAATCAACGTAGCATCTTTTTGGTGAAGGAGGAACTTAAAAAAAAATTCTATTTGTTAAAACTCTACTGTATTGAACTGTGCCAAACTGTTCTGATCCTTCTTTTGTAACAAATAAGGAATCCGCCATTTACAAAAAAGAAAAATGTCATTCTTACTGGAAATCACACACTTTATGAATTCTTCCTAATTTGCCTGCACTGCAAACATAACGTTTGTGAATTGTTGATTCCTGCTTGTTTCAGCATCGTTTTTAACTAGCAAAGAGAAAAAAAAAAAGATTTTATTTGTCAAAGCGTAAATGAAAAGGAAATTTATTTAGAGAATGGAGAGATATATATGTTATCAGGGAACTGAATATTCTAAACATAATTCTATTTTATGCGAGAGTATGTTCTAGCAAATACTGTGCTAAAGTCAGTATATTGTAAAATATTCCTATTTAATTGCTGATAGCTCCTATATGTTTATGTATAGGGCATGTCCCAACCAAAGGTCTTTGAAGTTTCTATAAACCGTTCTGAAGCCATTTTTATCCTCCCAAACATTTTTTTGTTTTGTTTTTGTCACCTTTCTATACTTTGCCATTATATAAGTGGGCCATCTGCAAATACATGAATGGGTACTGATTAATGGGAGATCTGCAAGACTAAGGCTATTCATAAATGTATGAAAATAGTAGACATGTGTCCAATCTTGCTTGAAAAGATTGTTCCCTAAACAATAACAAGTGTCTCTACTGAGAATGTCATTCATTCGAAAAATACATGGCAATGCCAGATCGTATTATAATAATTCTTGCAAGCACAGAACTTTTTTTAATTGTTCGATTATCTCACAGTAAGATGGAAGCAAAGACATGCAAAATGATCTCCTTTGCCTAACACAATATGGCGGAAAAATTCAATTTCTACAGATCATTTTTTTGCTATCTTATGTCTATGAATAGCCTCATAGGTCTTTGCTACATCCTTTCCTTGTTTTGTATTGACCCTTAGTAGAAAACATTTTCATTTCAATCCTAACTTTTAGTACACTTACTATTAATGACCAAGTTAAAATAAATTTGTAGAGTCTATACAAAAAAAATATTGACTTTAAGCGACTCTGTTGCTACTTTAAAGAGGTTTTAAAACGGGCGTCCCTGCAACAGAAAGGGTTAATCTGTGCCTCTCCTGGTGCCCACTGTGTGCAATGGCCACAGGGTGTGTACTGAGTGCTTGGTCCCTGCTGTTCTCTGTGGTAGCCTTTGCTGGCCATTACTGTAGCCTATAGTGATGTACAGGCTGGCAGAAAGAACTATGAGGTGCACGGGGCTATCAGAAGTAGTGATAGAGTCATTTGAAAGTGAACCTGTATACAGTGCAGGTAGTGTTGAATAGAAAAAAAATATAAGGTAACTTTTTTGTTCACCCCTGCATGGTGCTGCTGGAACCGTTCCAAAAAACTTTCAGCTATGGCGAAATTGCCTGTCCCAAGCAGCTAATTACCAAATGCTAGCACCGTGGGACAGAATACTGCCAAAGCTACAGAGAAATCCTATGCAAATACAGACTTGCTTAGTTAGTATTAGCATAGTGTTTTTGGGAGCTTTTGAAGTGCGCTGATGGGTAGGAGTGAGGTGACACATTAATGATGTGTTAAAGCACCTTATGGATCTATTGGTTTGGACCAACTTTCTATTTGATATCACCAGTGCAGATTTGCTTTAAAGGGGAAGCATCTGCCTTTTTCTACGTTACTGGTAATGGAAAATATTTTACAAAAAAAAAACAATACTGCCAAAAAAATGTCTTTTAAATGCGAACAAAAAAACTTGTTTTTAACATTGCAAGCTTTTGGAGTATCGTGGCTCTTCAGCAACAATATTTACCCAATTTGTAAAACTGGCTTGACAAAGACCTTCAGTGCTCCAGAAGATTGCAAAAAAATACTTTTTGCTTTTTTTTACCACTCCAAATGAGTTACCATTTAATATCTGTTCTTGGCTAACGTAGTACAACATTCTTTTTCTGTCTTCCTGGGAGTATCATTTTTAACATGAACAAATCAGGGAAAACTTTGAACAGTTTAACCTGTTAAGCATCCCAGAAAACAAAACTAAAGCAGACTGAGGGAATGGAGCTGTAGAACCATTTTTGTCTTCCTACACCCTTGGACGTACAATTTATTAGACAGTATGTTTCATTGGAGTTTAGTATTAGTTGATAGGTTTTATTGGAGGTGTTGTCTAGCGGAGCACAGCATTAGGGCCAGTGGTAGACAGTCACCAAAGGGTTTCTGTGCAGGAACAATTCTTGGACCCCCCCATTCAACTACTTTACATCTACAAGCACTTGAACAGAAAGATAAATACATTAATGGAGATGAGGAGTAGGCTTTGTGATACTCAGAACTCTCTCATAGTTTATAATATATAACTGGGGTCTAACAGTAAACAGCCCATTCACTTCCAGTTTAAATGCTGCCAAGAGGAAATGGTAAACGCATTGTCTAAGTGCTTAATGCTGATAAGGTGAAGGAGGTGCTTGCTGCCTAATACTTAGACATAAAACGTAAGCAAGGTTTAGGCATCTTTAGGAATGCCTCCATTTTCTTCCCTGCCCAAGAAGTAACTAATGTCCTGATCAACATTATGGTTGGAGGAGTCCTCGCATTTGCCTCAACGTCATCTTGCCTCATAAGTCCCACAGGACCTCCACCTCAAATATTTTAAATTATGCTAGTGATCATATGGGATAGTGGATTATAGAAACTCTTTTTCTGATCAATGCTTTTGGGTTTCGTTTGGTGGATGGGAAAAAGAGAAACGTGATCTAAATTATGGCCATAGATGGGACGCCCTTAACCGTTATTTATCACGGACAGTGGTTCCCTTGTACTTTGGATCATTCACTATTCTCCATAGTAGAGTAAAGGATCAGGAGCCACTCGCAATAAGATTTTTCAGCAAGTACCTCAGACAAGTCATCAAGTTTAAAACGAGTGATAATGGCAAGCCATTTTCCTAATCGTAAGCATTTTTATCTTATAACAGTTAATTACTAGATATATTAAATACTATCCTTATATACCATTTGATTGATTTCAGTTATAGTAATACTGCACCCCATGTGTTCACTTGGAGATTTAAAGATAAAGGCATGAGATGGTGGTTGGATACTAATAATGCCTGAAGAGACCCATTATTAAAGATAAATATGCATTTGTATATTACACCAGATTGCATGTTTATATATTTTACAGACAAGATAAGGTTGGTGCCTTATCTCAGGGGAACAGTAATGTGCATACTAGCCACCTTACCCCTAACCAAAGACAATCTACCATGCTACCCATAGTGTATACATTAGAATATATTGCTGTCTATTGATACAACAGGAGTAGATCATCTCAATGTCTGTCTCTGTTAAGTAAGGTGCTAAAAATAGGTATTTTTATTAACAACCAGGATCTCTGGTGAAGGGACCAGGCACGGAACCCATTGGCTGCAAGCCAGTGGACAATATCATCTGGCAGTGATCACTGTTAACTGACATGGTGCCTTTTTTTTGTTTGAAAAAGAAAACACACTTTTACCAGAATTTTTCCTATCATGAAGGGATTTTAGCTGCTGCTGATTGAATTTTAAGGATTTATATTAAATAAACATTAAAGTAGTAAGGACTGTGATATTAATAATTGCGAATTTAGACTTTTTCTTTTTAAACTGATGTTTTATTCACTTGGCAGTAAAAAAACATCATCATATAGAAAAATCACTATGCTTCCCCTTTAACAGAACTGTTGCCAACTGCATCCCATATTATTTTAAAAACAATTGCAGTGTTTTTTTGTCATTCTGTACATTGACATAGAGTAAGAGGCATAACGATGATTGTGCATGGTCCTTGACATCATTCACAACGTCACCCTCATTATTTTCTTAACGTCAGAAAAACAAAAACTAAAAAAAAAAAATAGTATCCCAATGAATTGTTGAAGAAATATTTTGCTGTATGCAACTATTTTATGTATATATTTTTATTGTCCATTATTTTAATGGTTTCTCGTTTAAGATGCACTGTATTGTTAAGTACCCATTGTATAAACTGTCTTGTTCCGAGGGGGTTTGCCTCGATACATGGCTGTTGCACTCCTGAGACAGATGGGAAGCCAATTGACTTTTCAGCAAACTTTTTGCTTTACTAATTTATTTGTTTTAAAAATAATATAATGCAGAGACTTTGAAAGTTTTGCTGCTAAAAGCTGTGCAGGTTTAAACCATTACAGGGGGTCATCTGTTTCATGCTCCCCATTATAACAAATGTGAAGTTCCAGCATAATACATCTTAAATGGAACATGCTTCATAGTGAGGCTGTATTTTTTTTTTGTAATGGTTTTTTTTTTGTAATTTAATTTTAATGTTGTGGTCTGCTGTGGGCTTGTATATATCTACACATTTTTTTTTTCCGTTGAATGTAAATGTTATTTTTTTTTTCTGGCAACCTGTTAATCTGTTTCCCGGTTTTTCTTTTTCAATTTTTTTTGGGGGGAAAAAATATTTATTATAGTCTTGTCTGTAAAAACAAAAAAAATCACATTCTAGATGCCTAATGTCACAATAGAACTCGCAATTTTCACAGCCTTATTTGGATGTCACCTAGCCAACTTGGTCGGAACTAAAAATAAACCATCCTATGAATTATGAAGATTCAATAAATCTGTTTCTCCTTTCCTCTTTCGATTCATAGGGTTTCTAAATCTTCTACTTTTTCTCTTTCCTTCTCTCTTCTTCGCTTGTCTTGGTGCGGGGCTATACCTTCCTCAGCGATGATACCTCCTAATATCGCTGCATGTATGAGAAATGACAAGCTCGGAGAGCCTTGCATCTACCTAATGGGCCAAAATCAAACTACGGTTTGTAGCTAAGTCAATCCTAGGTGTTTCTGTGCTGTGGCCTAATGATTACCCATTGCTTGTGCTTTGCTAAACTTTCTACTTGTCCAGTAACTCATGAACACACTACATTTCTCTGAACCGTACATGTAAGTACAATACTGGATGTTTCTGATGCAAGCCCTGTGACTCCATCGCAACCACATTCCAAAAAGTTTGCTTGCAAGCTTAATGTCTGGCAATTTTTATGAAAGCCGTATGTGATCAAGCATGGTGGCCAGTCTACAAGATGCACTCCGGTTTTGTGGCTTGACAAAGTGAAGTGTGAGTTTAGCTTTGTTTTTATGTCCTTCCAGAGTGAACAAGCCTTTAGCTGAGGAAAAAAGTAGCAGGACAGTTTAGGAACTATTGATATAGGTAAAGCATGCTATGTTTTACCCCAAACTTGCATGACATATTCACGGTATTGTGTCTTGATCTAAGCTACAGTGTAATGACGAATATTTTAGGCAATCAAAATTAAAATGGTCCTGAGGCCAAGTGGATGGAACGTCAACAGAAATTTTTTGGCAACTGATAAGTTGGGGAATAGTTAGGTTAAATTACAATTTAGCTGAAGCTTTCTGGGATATTAACCAGGTATTTTGTATTCGCAAATATATGCTGGTACACTACTGGAAGCTTTTAATGAACAAGTTGTGCATG